GAAGTTTGGGTCCATCATTTCTCTTATGAAGCTCAGGATGAAGGAGGGTATTCTGTCGACTTTCGTCTAGTTCTATGATCCGATGTATGATTCTTTACTTTCCCTGATCATCAATTGATGCCTACATTGGATGAATATTCTTATCTACTGGGTTTACCTATTACCAATCGTGTTCCTTTTACTGGTTTGGAGGGGGGGCCAAAATCTCATGAGATTGCTGCTTTGATCCATTTGGGGAAGTATAAGGTTAAATCCCATATGACTACAAAAGGATGGATTAGAGGATTACCCGCTCAGTTCTTATTGGAGAAAGCTCGCTACTTTGCTAGGATGAAGAGTATGGTTGCTTTTGAAGCCATCTTTCTACTTGCTTATGGGTTGTTCTTATTTCCCAATGTCGACAAATTTATGGATATCAATGCTATTAGGATCTTTATGATTAGGAACCCAGTCCCTACATTATTGGGTGATGCTTATTACTCTATTTATCTTCAGAATTTTTATCATGGGGGGATGATCATTTACTGCATGCCTTTGTTGTATCAGTGGTTTATTTCTCACTTGCCTCAATCTGATGCTTTTTGTGATGTCAGGAAGGAACCTCGTTGGGCTCCAAATATTATGGCTCTCAGTCATTAAAATATTTTTTAGTATCATCAGGCTTACTATGATGTGGATATTATCGATAGCTGTGGTAGTTTCCCCAATGTACCTCTTCTTGGTACAAAGGGAGGAATTAACTACAACCCTGTTCTTGCACGACGACAGCTTGGATATCCAATGAGGGATAGGCCAAATAGAACTCATCTGAGTGGATTCTTCCTTAAAGAGGGAGAAGTTCATAAGGAAGCTAGATAAGAAATTGCAAAGGCTATGTGTCATGTTCACAGAAAGGGTAGGAAGGACTTGAGACCTAGAGGGGTTGTTTCTTTGGAGCCTTATCTTCAGTGGGTACAAGCAAGATCCATCCAGTTGAAGATGTCGTATTCTCGTGAAGCACCCATGCCTGATATGTTTGTGAAGACCACTTCTCACCCTATTGGATGATGTAGAAGAGCTTCAGCTTGCTCTAGTCAGGATGCAACAGGAAAAGGAGGCTTGGAAGAATAAGTGCCAGACTTTAGAGATGAAAAGGAGGCTTGTAACAGTATGTTAGGGCTCCTGGTTCTCGGCATCATCAGAATTGTTTGGCGAAGGAATCTTGTCGGTCAAGGCCTCTACAAAGCCATCTTGGATCTGAGGGCTCAATGAGGAAGAAGCCTCAGCATAATGCTCAGGGGTGTTGGTATTATCAAGAGGGTTTGTTTTGGTGGAGTTATTGGAGCCGGTGACTGCAAAATGAAGTGGTTCCTGGGAAATAAATTTCGAATTAGTATGAGGATCCAATATATGAAAAGAAGTAAAAGAAGACAAAAAAACACAGTTGAGAGCGGAACACCTTTTTCTGTTGGAAGTGAACTGACATTAGCTACTTGTCGAGGGGGGAAGTTTCTTCCTGATTGTCAGACTGATGCTGGGATGTTTCTAAGCCAGAGATCTTGGTAGTTGAAACGCCAAATTTGGTAGTTGTCGATGGATTAGTTTTTGGGGTCAAATTTTTTAGGATAATCTTTATGCCTTTTTTAGTATCTTTGGGTTTAACTGGGGTGGGAGCCTTAAAGGAAGGAAAAATATGAGTGTTCCCACTGCGACAGAGTTTTATTTTTCAATTGAGAGATGAGGTGTCTCTTCAGAAACCTGAGAGCCAAGGAAGTTAGAGGCAAGTCAACGATTAACTTATCAAAGGAAAGGAAATACCATACCTGAGGTCGAGAGGTGGTTGAAACCTTTGTTCTCTTGTTTTGAATGAGAGATGCATACTCATCAGTTGAAAGACATTTTTGGAAGGTAACATAGGAGTTTAATGTTAGGTGATTAAGCCTAATAAATGAAAGTGCGTGAGTAAACCTAAGAAATTCGAAAGAACCAAGAATTGCCATTTTCAGAGGAATCTTTTTGGCAGCTGTGGTAGATGATCGCAGAACTCTATCAGCCTTAGTTTCTATTATCGGTATTCCATATATTTGAGTAGTCTCAGAGGCATGGAAGGCTTTGTTCAATTTCTGTAGGAAGATGGGTGCAGAGAACTACCTCTTTTGAAATTCAGACCATCATCGGTTGAATTCTTTAGTAGTAAAAAAGGAGGGTTGAAAGTGGAACACAAGGAGTTCAAAATTATGCATCTTTTTATGGAACTTAAGGCACGCCAAATGCTCACCAACAGAAAATTGTCGACCAACCAAGACAATGTTTATATGATGATAAAAAAGAGACATATGCAACATCTGACTAAATCCAAATTGGCGGGCCGCTAATTATGGTTGGTAGCTTATGAAGCCATAACCTATCGACCCAGTGTCAATTCTAATGGAAAGTAGTGTGGAGTTCAAGAATGCTATCCAGACCGCATTTGACGCTGCAACAGCCTTTGGAGAAACACAAGGGAAAGGATTCATGAACCAGTCTGCACCAACATGTCGGTCCATAAAATGAGCCATAGCCGGAACAAAAACGACGACTTCAATGGAAAAATTAACATACTTCATCAAGGCAATCCTGTCGAGTTCCTGTTGGAGGGGTCATCAAAGACAACCTTAGGCCCTTAGTGACTCGAGGCTCTGATAAATGTAGAGTTTCTTCAGAGGTGGGATAAACGTGGCATTTAGCCAATGTTGTAGCAACCAAAAGGGACATGAGAGAGCTAGCCTTTTTTCATGAGCCGAGAGAGACTTTATCTTGGACGAAACACCACCTAGAGTGTGGTATAGGTATGCCAACAAAACTTTTCCCAGTGATACTTTCCGACCTTCATGGATTTGAATGGCGAAAGGGACAAAGCCTTTGGCTACCTGTAGAGATCCTGGGCAAAACAAGAAATAAGAAAGCCAAAGGGTGAGGAAGGCGATATGCACCTTGTTAGAAACTTCCTGGTCGTTACTGATATGATGATCGAATATGTAGTGTTTGAGACTGGCGCGCTCAAAATAAAAGCAATTTTCGGTCGGGGCAGTTGGGTCGAAAATTTCACCCAAAGGAGAGAGGCCAGTAATGGCTGCCAAATCGAACAAAGTGGGTGTTAACATCCCACGAGGAAATTGGAAAATATTAGTAGTACCTTCCCAAAAGAAAATTGATGCTAGGATCAGATTGGGGTCAATCTTATGTGTATTTCTCGACAGCTGGATAGAATCAAAGATAGCAACATCCTTCCATTGCTTCTTTCTTTTTCCTTGAACTTTACCTAACAAAGAAAGATAACCTTTGTTACCTGGAGTGGACATTCATCGAAAAACCTTAGAACCTATGAATCTAGTGTCAATTGGCGTTTCATGGTTGAAGGCTAAGGGCTTCGCATGGGTGAAACAAGGAAAGTACCTCAAAACTTTCTTTGGATGATTCCGTTGAGTTAGGAGTTGAGCGTGGAATGCGAAGAGTTTTTCCGCAATAACAAATGGGATAAGTATTTGTTGTTGCCATCTTATCACTTTATGTTCATCCTTAGATAGTTGTTGAGGAATCACCGACAAAATTTCTTCTTCAGAAAGAGTGAAGGCCACAGGGTTGTTGTTAGTGTTCATCAGGTCTGCGGAAGAATCAACCATTGTGGTGAAAGAGAAGGAAAAAGAGCAAGAACCATTGCGGAAGAATCAACCATCAGCGGCGCTTGTAGATAAAAATGGGTACGAGATAGAAGAAGAAGGGACAACAAGCGGAAAGGAATATTTATAGGCTCATTGAAGCCGTCGATGGTGGAAAAGTGGCACCCATTTGAATAGTAATGATTGTCACTAAACTCAGAAGTGGAAGAGTTAGTAGAGTTTGTTGAAATCCTATATTATGGAAACTAGGAGTCATTATGAGAAACGATGGATTGACATGGGGAATAGTGGCCCAGAAAGATGAAATCATGACGCATGATGTCATTTGAAAAGACATGCAGTCAAAAATTTTAAAAAAACTAAAAACGCCAAAGTTCTCAGTCGACAGAAGCTTCATCGAAATTGGCTTTTTGGAGGGAATTTGTTGACAAGAATTTTTGACTCGGAGGATTAGGTCACAAGTTGGATGGTATTTTGTCAGAAAGAAATGCTAATTACTCAACAATTGAGAAGTTGAGGTTGTCGACAAGATTTAAGAAGTAAATCCTCAGGAAGTTAGTCGAGATAGTATTAAAAACGGAAACTAGGTCAACGAAGGATAGGCCAGTCAAAAATAAGAGCAAGTGGCGACAAAAGCAGTTGCCATCTATAGTCATTAGTAGAATGTGGAAGCAGTTCCACACGAACTCTCAACGTGAGTTGTTCAAATAACCGTCGACGGTTACATTTTAGCATCTATTTAAACAAGTTGTTGTATTCAATTTTGAAGTCGTATTTTATAACATTGTAAAAGAGCATTCAAAGCATCAATGTCTAGAGAAACAAGTCAGTTCTGAGAAATGTACGATTGCGTCCACTTTTAAATTCAAAGCAATTTATTTCAAGTCTTATTTATCAAAGTCGTATGAAACTAACCGAGATTAAACTCTTAAAACCCAATAAAAAATATTTTATATATATATATAATAAAATAAATATGTAGATAAATAATCTAAATTGCGTCTCGTTAACTTCTATTCAAACAGTTCAGTTGATAATTATATAAAAACTTTAAATAGTGGAGCCCAATTTTAAACTTACGACATCGCAATTGTTATATTTAATTAAACGAGTTCTAATCACTAGATTACTCAACCAAATTAAAATAACAAAATTGCACATAAAAGTAACCGACGCTTACCATGTAGAAAACGCGTAAGCGATGAATTAATAAATATTCTTTGTTGACAAAATTAATAAATATTCTCAATGGTCTAATGTAAATAAATTAACATAAGACGAGTTCAATTAATATTCTTCTATCTATAAATAAGCAAACACCAACATGCATTCTCAAAAACAGCGAAAAAAACAAGAAACCAAATGGATGTTTTATTTTCCTTAAACTCAAGCTCCAGCCTTATCAACATTTCAAAACCATTCAAACATCATCATAACCTTCATCTCTTAAATAATCATCAAAGACAGCCTCGTACAGTACACTTTTCTGTCTCATGCAGAGCCACAAAAAGTGTTCCAATTAATCATAAACTAGAGGATGATGATGGAAACTTGTACAAAATACTATGTTTGAGTACTAAAACCGCAACAACAGATGAGATCAAGAGTGCTTATAGAAGAATGGCTCTGAAGTACCATCCTGATTTATGTCATGATTGTTTGAAGAAAGAGGAATCAACGAGGATGTTTGTAAAAGTGAATGAAGCTTATAAGATATTGTCGAATCCAAAGCTTAAAGAAGAGTATGATTGTAAGTTATTGGGTTTGGGTGATTTGAGAAGAAGTAAATGGATGGAACAAGTTGTTGAGTTGAATAGAAGGTCTCATCAACGTAAGGCTGGTCAATCATGGGGTTCTAGAATGAGAGCCAAGAACAATATCAACAAAGATGATCATAATACCTAGTTTTTCAATTAGCTTTATCTTGTTTGTGATTATTCTGTTGTATTTTCAATATAATTAATATTACATTCATTCTATTGATCCAATAAAATATCTCTAGAAGAAAATTATTGAATTTGCCAACTTGTTAGGACTTTTTTTTTTGACGGGAACTTGTTAGGACATGATGCTTTCTTTACTTACAAAATAAGGGTGGTGTTCATTTGCAAGCTGGCTTAAAATCCTTTTAAAATTGGTTTTAGATCATTCTAAAGATTTATTTTAGGTTTCATACACTACCATATGGTCTTCATAATTCCACGTCACTTGCATGCAATCCATTATAATTTGCTCTAATGGCAAAAATGTATTCCATTTGTATCCAGTACATAACTTATTTTCGTAAATACTTAAATATCATAAGATTCTTGTGAAAAAAAAATGTAATTCAAAGGGGTGTAACATGTTAGAACATGAGTGTAAATATCAAACATAAGCAATTTGTAATTGGTTATAGGTTATAGTCGTTTACTAGCCTCCAATTTTATATCTTCGAAGATAGTAGCGACTGTAACCGGTTCCATGTTTGATGTAACGACTTGCATGGTTGAAAATTTTGTTACTTTTAGTTGGTAAGATGTGGATTTGTGTATTGTTGTATATATACTTTATGTAGGGTTGTTAATGATAGTCCATCATTTTCACCCTGACTCTCTCTCCATTATTCTCTGATACATCATTTTACCTTGTGATTGTGATTTTGATCAAACATTTGACATTCAGAGCCTGATTCGTTGATCGAACACCTAATGTGCGAACGAAAATATTTTTCATCTCAATGAACGTATTCCTACAAATTTCCTAATTTTCGATGCAAAGAATGATCACTACAAGAAAAATTGAATTTTACCATGGATTAAATCCCTCACTATGCAAAAAAAAAAAAAAAAAACCCTCGCAATAATAACATTTTCCAGGGGCAAGAACCCTTGGCAAAACACTTGTTGCAAAATTTTCACCAAGGATTTGACCCCATCACCATGCCTGGAAACCTTGCCGGGATTTAACCCCCTATTACGCCAGAAACAAGAGCAGACTAGTGTATGGTGCATTAGGTTGGATGCAGAAAAGTTACAAACATTTGCTAGGGTAACCCATCGCAATAAAATATGATTTTAATAAAACATATTGTATTTGTGTTTCTTTAATTAGTTTTAATATATATTACACTTGTTTATAAAATATTAATTTAATTTTAAAAAAAATCTGTTTTTATAAAATATTTATTTAATTATATCATAATTATGTTTTTATAATAAATAATCAAAAATCACAATTTTTTTAAACAAGCGTGTATAAATATACATGTATAATTTATTATAAAAAATATAATATAAAACTTGTAGTGTTATATTTGTGAGCGTCTTGTATTGGAACGTCCTCGTCGAAGTGATATTGCTTAGACGATGACCCAAGGACTCGCTCCGGCAGACATGATGTGTAAAGCCGTTACTAAAGGAAGAGGAAGTCCACCATCAATCCCGAAAAGTTAGGTGGTTAATAATTCCTCCTAATCAGAAGGGAGCGATTGTCACCACCTTTGGCTACCCAAACCGTAAACCTAAAAGTTCTTTATAAATATTCCTCCCCTCAAAAGGGAGATGGACAAATCTTAAGCCATACAGATCATTACACCCCTTAAAAGCATAACACTTAACTAGAGAGTCTCTCACCTCACATAAACAAGACTTCTAAAACCACCGCAAAACACCATTGTACAGGGGGTTCTCAGCGCCGTGGATAAGCTCTAACCATCATACAACGTAATATACTTGCTAAGACCTATAACTCTTCATGCCCTTGTAGGGGGACATGCACACATCTACTTTTTTATCAGAACTATGGCGTCCACCGTGGGACACCAGTAAAACTAATAAAGGCCACACCTTCTTCATCTTTACCTTATCCACAGTTACCCTTCACTACCACACCCGACAAATTTCTTCCATGGTTAACAAGAGAGCTTTATCCCATATACTATAAGGTAATAACGATAACAATGATGCCGATGCCCTAGCGAAGATGCGTGCCACCATGGACGAGTTACACTCCATAACCAGACTTTAGAGGATGATATCCATAACATTAGACAGCACCAGCATGAGTCTAATCCCCGGGAAGATATGGACCTGTTTGACTCCTAACCTCTCAGATTTGATATGGGGAGCCTGTCTCAGTGGGCTTCAATCCTCCCTCTACCAAATTTAATGGGAGCGGTGATCCTTACAAGCACATTACCTTCATCAATACAAAGATGGCCATCATAGGAATGCATAACTCCCTGAGTTGCAAGCTTCTATCTGTTACTTTCAGGGACGCCACTTTCAGATGGTATATAGATTATCTTGTGCCTCCATCAACAGCTATCAGGAATTACTAAAGAAGCTAGTGCACCGATTTTCCTCCAACTGCCATAAGAAGATGTCCACGACCAGTTTGTTTAAGATATGTCAGGGTCCATCAGAATCACTAAGGGACTATCTCTCCCACTTCAACAAAGCCATAATCAGGATCGTCCCACCGAACCAAGAAATGTTTATGGGGAGTTACCAAATATGCTCAAGGTGGGAAACTTCAGCGGGTTACTCGCCTTGAAGCCCGCACTTTCATTGGTGGAAGTGGCCACTAGAGAAAACTGCTACATAAAGGGCGAGGAAAGCAATGCATAAAAGAAGGAACTCGATGTCAAGGAGCACATTCCTAATGCCAAAAGCACGCACCACCAATGGAAGGAAAATTACACCTTTCCCATAAAGGACAAAACTAAGTTCAAGAGGGTATGTAATGCGATACATAAATTGACGCCCTTGAATACCGTCTGTGAAGTTCTCCACTTACGTAACATACATACACCACTTACTCATAAGGCCGTTGTGATGGGTTCTACACTAGGAAGATGATACAAGTTCCATCGGGTCAAGGGACATCACACCGAGGACTAATACCATCACAAGAAGGAAATAAAAATATTAATACAGAAGGGACACCTCAAGAAATATGTGAAGGGAGACTTCTTCTCCTCTCGTTCGTCTGAAAAATCTAGCTCGTGTGAGTGACAAGACATTACCAAGCCCAATAAAGATAAAGAAACGCCTCAAGGAGAGGATAGTAAATTTGTGCCTCAAACGCTCAACACTATATCATAAGAGTTTTTCAAATACGGGGAAACTAGATCCACCTAAATAAGGTATGATCGCCAGATTCAGAGTATAGAAAATCTCCCAGAAGTCAAGAACAAGGGCGAGCATCTAGTACCAGATTCCATGATCGTCTTCTCGGAGAAAAATCCAACTGGAATCCACCCTCATGATGATGATCCCATGGTCATTACTGTCAAACGCAAAGACTTGGAGATTAAAATATTTCTCACTGGCCAAGGGAGTTCTATAGACACATTATACTAAGAGGTGTTTGAAAGACTTCACCCCATAAGATCTGAATCCTTTTAAAGGGTAGTTGGTTGTATTTTTTTGGAGAAAAGATACTTTTAGAAGGATATATCACCCTGAGAATCACTTTTGGAGAGGAAGATAAAGCTAAAGAAATAAAGATTAGTTATTTGGTTATTGATGCCTCATCTCCATATAATATGATTATAGGGAGACCATACTTTAACCGACTGGGAACCACTTTGTGTGCTCCATATTTATGCATGAAGGACCTATTCCCCAATGGGTGATTAGGGGTTATCCAAGGAGATAAAGAGATCGCCAGGAAGTGTTATGCAGAAAGCATCAGGTTGAAGAGGATCCGCACTCCAGGTGGAAAGGCTAGGAGGATGAGTTTGGGAATAAACCGCTAAAGGAATTCCACAAAGGCGAGGAAACCTCCTCCCTAGCCTCTAAGGAGATTATAGGATAAAGTTCCAGGAGAGATACCATCTGGAGACGTCTACATAGCTATTATTATTTTTTCTTTAGTACTGTTTGATTACTTTATTGAAAACTTTTATAGGTCCGTATTGCATCTCAACCGATTGTAAATAATAAGTTATTTAATGGGGTTCACTCTTTCCCCTTTGTGCTTTTACATAAGGGGATGGTTCCTAATGAGAGACCTCACTTTTTATTACGTTAGAGTCTGTATGTTTGGCTATCCTTTTCTTTGTAGGAAAATTAAAAGTTCAAGAGAAGATCATCAATAGAGGCGATCAAAAGTGCTGGATCGCCAATAGTGTAATATTTATCGGCCATTGATCATCTAATATGTTCTTTAAGGAGGGAGTTCGCCATCCTTAGAGACAACCACAACACTAGATACTTAAAACAATATCCTTTTTTAGTCTCTTTTTAGGTAAATTAAATTATTGCAAGAAGAGACGACGACAGACGCTCCTAGGCAAACACTAAAGAGTTAAAACCATGCAAATAATCAAAAAAATAATAAAAATCCTCTAAAAGGGCACCATTTTTTAGTAAAATTATAAAAGCCTCTAAAAGGGTAGAGAAGTAGAACAAAAAATCCCCAAAGGGGAAAAGAAATACAAGGCCCACTGAGGGTCAAGAAATAACCAAAACATCAATCTTCTTCCTGGGTCATCACCTCCTCAACAATATTCCCCGGCTGAGGGACTTAAGACCCCCCATAGTCCATCGCTTCATCTCGGCCATGGGCGTCGTTGACAGGCGGGGGACCTTTAGAGGAGGCCATTGTCTCCCCGTCCCCAGCTCGTCACCACAGACAACTTTGAAAAAAATGCATTTTAATCAAGTCTATATTGGGGTAGACTTTGTACATGAGGAAGAAGATAACATGCATCTTCAAAACCATCCAAGTTACTCCCCTAAAAACACATAACCAATTCTTGTCAACAAAGAGATAAATATCCCCCTCATGAACTCAATATATTGTAAGAACATGTAGCAGAAGAAGCACACATAACTCAGAGCATAAGACATAACAACGCTCATAATTCAGAACACATGACACAACATACATGATTCAAACAGAAAAGACACAACAAA